CCTAACATATGCCTTCCAAATCAATAAAATATTGTGGAGAAAGTAACTCCCCTGAAGCCATCAGGTTTTAGCAAGGCAACTTCTGGAGTCCTAAACTGTCACAGCATCAACTGAACTTTTTAGAGAGCACAAGGTCAGCTCTAAGCTCACTGATAGTGCTAATCTGTGCTAGGCTGAGAGAATAAGAGCAACAACCATCACGGGGAGAACTTGACTAGGAACCAGAGGTGCTGGGACATTTGTGATTACCAGGGAGTGTCAGGAGTCTGTAGAAGCTGCCTAACACACAAACATTCTTCTAAAGGAACATGAGGAGTGCAGAACTGTTTGGGAGGAGAGCCTTAGCCACACTGTGGGCAAGCTGGAGATGTTCAGGAACTCTGAGAAGACTCTTTAGGGGTTTTAATAGGAAAACTATTGTTATTACACATAAAACTTCTGCATAAACATCTCAACCAAACTGCAGTGAAGAGAGTAATTCCAGTTCAGGATGAGAGAGTGAGTGGTGGTTGGGCGATGGGTTTCCATAGGTAATGTACAGCCATGGCCTCCTGTGTGCCAACCTGAGGCTACACATAGAGTCAGATTTGAGCCAGCTGAGATGAAAGCTGTATATTTTTCTCCTCTGCATTAGTGTTCAGCCAGATCAGTTCTCTGACCTGTCAGACTTGAGTGGAGACTGCGTAATTGTTCATGCTGGAACAAGAGGGGAGAATGTTGCACAGGAGAATGGATTTAGCTTGATTTCAAGTCAGTCATGGGGCTGTGTCCTGAACATGCAGGGAGATCAGTATAGTGATTTATTCAGTAATAATTAAACTTTAATTGCCTTAAAGTCTTCCATAAAACATCATAAGAAGCATAGCCAAGTACCTTAAGGTTTTCCTTAAAAATTATTTAATGTTTTATGAATGTCCATTGAATTATTGGCAGCATGGGAAGACAGAATTGTAAAGGGTGATATTAGGCAGGTGAGGTTAACTTCCATGTGCTGCTAATGGGGAGAGAGAAAGGGTCTGATAAAGGCTAACAGAGCTTTTGTGGAGTGCTGTTGGAAACGTGGCATCCTCTTTCATCTGTGACTTATTTGTGCTAGGACTTGGAGGATGCATCATTTAGTTGCACAAACTAAACTTCAGCATTTGTTAAGTAACTGTGTATATATATGTATATTCTTTTTCAGGTCAGGGAAGGCCAACCAATTGCAAAGCCCTTCTTGGGATGCTGTTAGTGCCTTGCAGTGCTTTCACTGCAGTGCTCTCAGACTTTTATCAGTAGGTCTCTCTCAACAGAGAAGTGTAAATGTTGCAAAAAACTAAAATGAAATTAGGAGGGAGTAGCTGGGAAAATGGCCATTAAAAAGGCATCTATTTTGTGCTGCAGTTCTCTGATTGCATAAAAACATAATCAAAGTACAAGTCTTGACTGTATTGATTTGTGCCTTGTATGCAGTTTTTGTTCCATGGCCAAGCACAGTCTGAAATTTCTCATGCATAATATTGTGTTCTTTCTTGCTAGGAACTCGATAAAGAGCTTCCAGTGTTGGAACCTTACTTTGTTCAAAAGCCAGAGCTTGCTGGGAAGACAGGAGCTGGTATGCGAGTCACATGGCTGGGACATGCCACAGTTATGGTGGAAATGGACGAACTTGTACTTCTTACTGACCCAATCTTCAGCCAGCGAGCATCCCCCAGCCAGCTGGTGGGGCCCAAGCGCTTCCGAAGGCCCCCGTGCACGGTGGCGCAGCTCCCCAAAATAGACGCGGTGTTGATCAGCCACACCCACTACGATCACTTGGACTACAACACCGTGACGAGCCTGAACGAACGCTTTGGGAGCGAGCTGCGCTGGTTTGTGCCGCTGGGGCTCCTGCAGTGGATGCAGAGATGTGGCTGTGAGAATGTCATCGAACTGGACTGGTGGGAAGAGAACTGCGTCCCTGGGCACGACGCCGTAACTTTTGTCTTCACCCCTTCGCAACATTGGTGCAAAAGGACTGTGAGAGATGATAACAAGGTTCTCTGGGGCAGCTGGTCTGTCTTGGGTCCTTGGAATAGGTTTTTCTTTGCAGGAGATACTGGATATTGTTTAGCTTTTGAACAGATAGGTAAAAGGTTTGGACCTTTCGATCTTGCAGCCATCCCCATTGGAGCTTATGAGCCAAGGTACGAAAATCAAAGTTTGATCAAAGTACGTAAATGACTCAATATACTGATGGCAAAAAATACACCCAGAAGTTAAAACTGTGGGTGTGCTTTATTAAGAATATACATCTGAATATAGAGGCAAAAGAAGGAAATTGCTGAGGCAAAGGGATGTTGCTGAATAAAAAAAAATAAAAAAGCAGGCAATTAGAAGATGGAACTGAAATGTCCAGGATGCCTGTCTGTGTATGTGTGATGTTTTTTGAGAGTTTTTCCTTCACTGTTAAGCACAGCCAGAATGATTTGGCAGTCTTTCTTCCATGAAAGATGTTGAGTAAAAATCTGGAATTACTCCGTGATTTTTTAAATTTTTTTCCTGAAACAGCATAGTTTAATCCAGCCCATTCAGATGCATGCCATTTGCCGCATTTTTCTCTTGCTTCAGGCTTTATGCTGGTTTTGCAACTTATCTGGAGATAAAGATGACTCAGTTATAGTGTTTGAAAGATCTGTTTGTTTAGGCATCTCTATTCTACTTACAGTGGGTTATCTAAACTTCTAGATGATAACGTTCATATAATGCCGGAAGGGAAGTGTGTATGGGCTGGGAAAGGAAGATAGGACTGAATAGAAAGGTAAAAATCTGGTATCTTTCAAGAATTGCCAGGTTCTCCCTTCTGCTTTACCACTATTCTCTTGAGCTGTTTCTGAAGCACACACTCCTTGGTGTGCGCTGCTAGCATGAAGTTTTCTCAGGGATGGATTTAAATTTTTGGCCTTAATAATTAATTATTTGGCCTTATTACTGGCACCTCAAGGCGCCAGTAATATGTCCATATACTATTGGAAATCTAGGTAAGAAAAAACCCTTTGAAAAGGGGAGTGCAATACGTGAACTGCTGTTTCAGGGGCATGTTGGTATATGTTAGTTTCTTAGTTTTGAGTGTTCTGTATGTTGTTCAGGTGTACATGCTCATGATTTTTTTGATGAGGTGACTATATATATATTTTTTTCCTCTTTGCAACTTAGCCAATGAAAGTAAAGAAGAAATCTCACACTGGATTAGGTGACACAAAAAAAATGTTGCTTTCTGTTTTGGTAGGTGGTTTATGAAATACCAACATGTGGATCCTGAAGAAGCAGTAAGAATCCATATTGATGTTCAAGCAAAGAAGTCTGTAGCAATTCACTGGGGGACCTTTGCTTTAGCAAATGAGGTAAATTGCAACACTGTTACATGAGTTCAGATTTTCAAGTACTACAACGGTCATTAGTGCAGCTTTGCTTATGCAGTGTAACCTACATATCTGTAAATGTAAACTTAAAATGTGACCTTTGTATCAGTGACAAGTTGTCACTCCATGTACTGCTGTTCAAAACAATGCTTAGCTTTTCTTAACTGATTACATAAAATATTTCTACAGTTAAGAAAGTACAGAGTTTCTGAAACAAATGTGGAGGATTTCTGATATCCAAAAGCTGAGGAACATAATAGGTGGGGACACATATGCAGTAATAAAAGCAAACTCAGCAGTGCCTCACTTGGAGATAAGAACTGCATGTCTGTAGGTCAGTACAGTATTTATTAATCATACCTGTCTAGTAAATAAATTGAATGGTATTTTTAATAGTTGATTCAGAGTTAAATATCAACAAGGATATGAAAAACTGAGTTACTCTGAGTTGCTGATTTTTTTTTTTTTAATTTTTTTTTTTCATTCCTTCCTTCTACCCCTTAAGTCCCCAGTTCTAATAAGAAGGTTACCCAGGTACTTTCACAGCAACTAAAAATGCAGTGAATGGGAAGCATCTACATCTGCTTTGATACTGTCTGGTAGCTGGTTTTCAACACTGTCCTTGCATCAGTTGCACCACTTTATCTTCTAATTCATTCCTGATACTGTGATCACCTGATATGTCATATGTTCTGTCCCTTCCAGCTCCTTGTGCACCTCCCCCCTGGCAGAATAAAGAGTTCCCAGGCAGGGAACAGAGCCAGGACACAGAACCTTTCCTGTCCACAGTGTTTTCAATAAACTGTGCCACTAGTGCCCACGGTACAACTGTTACTGTGTATTTAGAAGCGCAAAAAGTAGGTGATTTCTCCCTGGTGGTGCCTTTTCTGATGTAGCAAGTACAACGCGGTAACTTGAATTCAGGCAGGACCGCTGACAGCTTGGGTTTACTGAGCAGAGAAAGCGCCAGCTGCTGGCCGGACAGCGCTTCCCCCGAAGGGATCTGTTAATGCAGTGAAGGCGAGCGAATTGTGGAGGACAGGCTGTGCCTTGTTACTTACTCTGCAGCTGTAAATCAGCATTCTTAGCATTTAAAAACTTAAAACGAACCCAAACGTTTTGATAAATATCTTCCTTCTTCCCCCATTTTTTAAAGCAGTGATTTCCACCCCCACCTCCCCCCAAAAATGTTGCAGTGGTATCTTTTCCCTGATATTAATCTCATTTTTTCCAGTATTACTTGGATCCTCCGGTTAAACTGAATGAAGCTCTTGAAAGATACGGCTTGAAAAAAGATGACTTCTTCCTCCTAAACCACGGAGAATCACGGGACCTGGGCACAAATGAGACGTTTGAAAACTGAAACCATAACAGTTCCTTGTAAGCCCAGTTTGATCTGAACTAGCAATTAATAGTACAAATACTAATATTATGTATTTACACAGTGCATTTTTTAGATTGAATTGGATTTCTAGGTGTCAGGTTTTAGAACTAAAACTTGCATACCAATTTCATGATGAATTTTACTAGTTATATTGTTTATAAATTTTGAGAGGTCATCTAAAAGTGGTTAATATAAAAGGTGTTGTCTGGGATTAACTTGCAGTTTCAACTCTGATGTACACCACTGATAAAAAGTTTTATTTTTACACTCTTCATCTTACCTGCAGCAGCAATAATAATCTCAGCACAGGACTTATTCTTAGGATTAATGGCTGACTTGAATTAGTCATTGTTAGATTGTCATCTCGTTAGTCTGCAGGTTCTGCCCTGTACCTTGAAAGCTTCACTGTAGGTTTTGTGGAGTGGAGTCTTCCATTACAGCTGTGTTGTTAAAGCACAAACACAGTACAATTGTTTTACTGAGTGCTTCTTCATTTTCATATATTGATGAACCACAAAACCTGAATTTTACAGTGATCAAAGAAATGTGCCTTTTAAAGAGAGAGATAATTTAATATTGCACCATGGATGTGTTAAACTAACTGCTGGCCAGAGTTCTCTGCACACTTTCATTGTTTTGTCGATGTTTTAAGTTAGGTCTGAATGTGTCAAATGCAGCACATGAAATGGAACAATCCCTTAATGGCACTTGTCTTTGTGTTGACTCAGCCTTTTTCTAAGTTGGTTTTGTTTTTTATTTTTAAGTGGTAAGTCTGAAGCAAGGGCTGTGGTATTTTTTCTTAGAGCTTCCCTATAATTTTAAAGTTGAATGAGAGATTACAACATTGTTCAGTATTATAAAAGTTGGCTAAATGTATCTGTATCAAATTGCCATGCTAATTTACAAAAATTAAAGCCTATCGTTGCCAATAAAAAGGGTTGTTATTCTCCTTCATAATTCATTGGCAGTTTGTTTTTTGTTTATAATTTGTTTTGGTCTATGGTCTGTGTTTTTGGTTGGGTAGGGTTTTTTCTCTTGCTGTGCATTACATTTTATTTTCATATTCCATGAAGATAAATACAATTTTTTAAAAAGACATTATTTAAAAACATGAACTTCTGGCAACTAATTAAAACCAGCTAATGAGATTTCATGCTATGAACAACCTGAAGTAATCTTTTAACTCTAGACAGTTATCTCTTTTAGGACTTCCCAATATAAATATTTTAAGTCTTATAGATCTTCATATCAACAAAGAACAGCACAAGGAGGCAAAGAGGAGTTAGTCCAAGTTCAAGCTGAGAGGGGTTCTGGAACAGAGATTACACTTATATGTAAGAAAAAGCAACTTCTTTTCTTTGCTGGGGTTCAACTTTGACAAACATGAAGATTTCTTTATTTCAAAAGGTAATTCTAGAGTCATGTAGATGTATTCACTGGAATTTGTTCAAAAAGGGGTTTAAAACTACTCTGTTGTTCAGTTTTGATTTTGGGAGGGTATTTCAGATGAAGTCTCTATTGAGCCTTGTGTTTACACAACAGCTTCAATTAGAATTTGGGTGATATAATGCATCTTACATGTTCATAATTTTGTGGAGGACACCAAGCTGCAGGAAGTTTCGAGTTCTTTGAAGGACAAGGTTAAAATTAAGGTTGGTTTTGTTGTAGGTTGGGGTTTTTTCCTGTTTGCAAAATCATCAATAGATTATTCTGTAAAATTATGTACTTTAGAAAGCGTGAAACTAAAATACAGAATACCCAGATAAGCAGCCACAAAGTAGAGAAATACTGACTTACATGGATCAGAGACATATTTTGTTTTGAATCTATTAATTTACAACATTTTTAGGTAGAATGGTGACTGTTATGTTTTGCCTGGTGCTGAAAAGATTCCATCCAGGGTGTGGGATAGGGAATAAAAAAATTAGACATCCTTGCATGATGGCGCTTGGGAGAGTCTTGCATGATTTTAGAACATCTCAACAGCGTTGTTCTACGAAGAAAGCATTTAAAAATAGGTCTTTCTAGACCAGAAAAAGACAACTGAGACAACACTGTAACAACTTTTCATGTATTTTTAGAAAATGTCACTTGTTTCTGTCAGCTGTTGAAGCAAAGGATAAGAGGTCAACTCTATCAAAAAGGTTGGAGAACACAGAAAGGGACATCTGGACATCTCTGCTGCTCAGCTAAAGAAAACATATATATCATCTATACCTATAACAATCTAGTCTTAAGGCCTCATCAGGAGAGGAGAGTGAGATTAGTAAATTCTTAGTGCCTGGCCTACCTTTAATTTTTCTTTGTTGAATTCAGCAGGAGAACACCTTAAGTCTACAAAAAGTGGCACAACATGAAGTGATTGTAACATATCTTGCTTATTACAAACTCTACAGTGTTTTAGAAGTGGGAAGGAGAAAGGGAAGTTCGCTGTCAATGCAGCAACTGTCCAAATTCTGACTGGGAATCTTGCCAACTTCTATTTCTGCCTTAACTGTATTCCTGGTGAGTTAAAACTGCCTATGTGGTTAAATTAGATACATGTAGCTTTACCCCTGTATTGATCAGGGTACAGGTAGGTTGCAGTTTCAAGGTCATCTTTTTCTTGCAGTTTCAGCTATTTGCAAAGTCACCTTCTGAAAATAACATCTATTGTGTTACAGAAAGAGAAGATAGCAATGTTTTGTTAAGAGCAGAGTGGGTATATTAAGTTAGAAAGATGAAGCACCTGGTAACAGTTTAGTGATACAGTTCTCTTAAAAATGGTACAAAGTGGAAAACGTATTTCCAAGCCCTTACATCTGATGGGTTTTTTACTTCCTCTATAATGCAAGTATTAGGAAGTTTTTTAGTATAGTCTGGTTTTAGAAGTCTTTTCCAGTATGTTTTCTGTTCATCAGTGAAACTCTGTTCAGGTTCTTTTAAAGTGATGTTTGTATGTATTCCACTTCATTTTGAGTCAATGCTCGATTGATGACTTACACTTTATGGAGGCTAGTTCAGCACAAGCACTTATCCCAATGATGTTCTAGTTGCAGAAAAAAGGAGTAAAGTTCTCCTTTACTCTCCTCAAGGAAAGCAGGCTCAAGGGCTGCTACAGAACAGGAAGCTTTTGTAAAAATGTGTATGATACTGCTCTTGTAGACTTTTTTATAAAGATGAGAATACTGAGTTGCAGCTGCAGATAATCTTTGACTCCTAATAAAATATTTTTAAAAATATGCCTGCTTTCCTTAAAGTGACAACTTTAAAGCAAAATAAAATCCTTTCAATTTTTGTTCAAGTGTAGAAACTTTGCACAGTTGTGGTTAACTGCACTGCAGTTAATTAAGCTATTGCTGCTTGTAAAAAAAAAATCTGTTGTGCTCTCTATATTAAATATTCTTTGTGCCTAGTAATATGGTAGTATTCAGGGTTTATTTGTCGTTGTTTTATTGTTTGCTTGTTGCAGGGTTTTTTAGCATAGCATTCCCAAGATTAAATATTTTCATCAGGTCAGTCTGCTTAAGAAAACAACACTACTGTGTTAATATTCTCACAACTTGTTCTTTCACTTCTGGATCGGGGTGATGCAGCAAAAATGCCAGTTTCTGAGCAAATGGGGCAGAGTCCCTGCAAAGTATGAAGAAAATTGAGTCTTCACTGTATTGGTCCTCAGTTATGGTGCCAGCTTCATTGTTCACGTTCTTTTTCAAGTTTGCTGCAAATGCCAGGGCTCTGAGCAGAATATCTCTGTTTATACAGTTGTCAAAAAGTAACAGCAAGGATGGCACCTAGGATATGCAAGAAATATTCCATACTTAATCACCAGCAGTAAGTATATGTAACCATAACTTTAGAAAATGAAAAAAAAATTGTACCTAAAGCAGAAACTTTGTATGTTGTGAAAGCATGTCACAAACTTGCACACTATGCACATATTTCCTCTTTAGAAAAGACTGGCTTGTGCATCAACATCCTAATAAATACTTTGTATTTTCAATCTCCAAAATGTGGCTGGCTGGAAAATTCCCATTTGGAAGAGAGGGTCTGCTTTACTTCTCAGTAATGTTGATTTTTGCTTTCTGCAGGGATCTGAATATTTTTGTTAGCACTTCTGATAAACAAGAAAAGGATGAACTTTTAACAGAACTGAATATTTATCTACCCTGATCTTGTTTGAATAATGAAGACAGTAACATCTAGACTAGCTCTGCTGCTGGCAAGTAACTCACAAATAAAGGCCACTGCACGTTTCAAGGAAGTTACTTTGGGGAGGGGGAGGAGGATGCAGCACCAATTCCAACCCCTGACTCTGTTTTGGTGTGAGGGAACGAAGCTGAAATAAACCTGGATGCCAAGGCCAGCACAGCAAACGTCCCAAAGTTCTCCATGAAGATGTAAGTAGATGCACAGGGAAAGTTCACTTAGAGACAGTAACTTTATGACTGCATTTGAGTAAAGGGGTGGGGATTTCAGTGGAATTTGGTTGGTTTTGGTACAGTATATGGGCTGGAGAAACAGCTATTGAGAAGGATCATTTACAGTACTGGTTCTCTTTGATGTCTGCACCTGGTCTTCAATCTATATACTGACTGTGTGCCTGGAAGTGAGGTTTTGGATTCCTTATACATGTTACAAACTAAAGTTCTTGGTACTAGCCCTTGGGTGGAAAGGCTTCTGCACGTTATCATTGATTATCAGGAATGGTGCACCAGAAGTACAACCCACTGTCTCCAAGGCCCCGGGGCCCTGTACCTGTCCCTCTGCAAGTACAGGATCTGTATTACACTACCATCTGGAAGAAAGCCAGCCTGTGAAAGAATGTGCACTTCTAACTACTGCTTTTAACCAAGTACTGCCTAGAATTGTACACTCTGGAATTGCATGTATATTTCTAATACACTAAAATTCTTCTAATGCATGCACATATCTAAACAGGTACATGTGTTTATATTCTAAAAATAAAATGAAGCAGCAAGAACCTTACTTGAGCTCTGAGAAGATGTCTTGTTATGGCTGGGTTTGCAGATAAGTTCACAAGTACTTTCAAAACCTGAATCTGAAATGAGTAGACAAATTCATTACAAGCTCCAAACCAGTAAATACAGTAGTAATAGGCATCAGTAATGTCAGTGTTGACTTGTAGAGGAAAAGGTAGAATGGGTCAACTAACATCTTGAGTTGTGCACTTCTTTGGTATAGGGGAAAACCAAGGTATAGACATGTTAGAAGTAAATTCAGTTTGACTTCAACACCAAAAATAAGGCAAGATCTATAAACAACTCCCTGTAGGCAAACTCCAGAATATTTATAAAATACAGAGGGGATGGTTAAGTTCTGTATTTAAAATTATCAGAAGCATATACACATAAACCTTTGTACTTTCTTGGACCTTGTGACACTAGTCATAAAACTAAACATTGAGAAAAGGCCAAGTTCCTTATTGTACTTAAGTAAAATAGGTGTGCTATGTTTAGTGGAAGTCGCTGCTTTGGAAAACTGGCTTTGATCTGAGAGAGCAACCACATACACTGATGGTACCACAACAGCTTGAATAAATGCTGAGTTTGGTCCCTGACTGAAGCTCCTCTTTCAATATTACAGTAATTCCCAAGTAAGCACGATTTGCCACTGCAGTCACTGGGTTGCAAGAGATGTAACAGGCACAAGGGAACAGAAGTCCATAACTTAGGATCACTGCTCAGGATGTTTCCATAGAGAGATTCATGCATCAGTGAACCCTTTCATATGCAGATTCTCTGCTCTGTGGTGCAGTAGCAATGTTTAGAGCAGCAGAGAATTCTGGAGTTGTTATAGCAAAGGCACAGGACACCCTGTACTGTTTTGGTAGAGCTCAAGCCCAATGGTTCCACTAGCAAGATTTCCTTCCCTCCACCCTTTTTGAATTTATATTGTGAAAGTAATACAGATGGTTATTTTAGTGCACAGACTCTGTATCTGCTATCATTAATGAATGTTTGGTTTTGTTCTTCCTTAGCACAGTCTCAACCCTTTTACAAAACCAGTAAAAAAGGAGGCAAGTAAAGCAGCATCATAAATGGCTTGCAACAATAACACTACTCAGTACCTGTGTCCTTTCAGTTCCTTCTGAAAGCAAATGAAGAAAGCATGGAATTGAGTTTATCATCTTTTGGTGGTAGTCATTGGTTACAGACATATTTGTCAGCAGTCTGAGTCCAGCAAGCTGCACATCAGAGTTGAGGGGAGCTGACTCAATGATCCTACAAACTTGTGTGATATATACCTGGGGAAAAAGGGAAAGAGATACAGAGATAGTTTTTGATACAAGCATATTTTCTGTTCAAAAATAGTATCCATGGCCCAGCTACAGTTGCATAAATACCTCCAGAATGTTGCTGGCTGAATACATAACACGGTGAAGAATCTTGGAACCAAGGTACTTTTTTGTTTTGAATATATTCAAACATTCTATTGGCATGACAGAAGCAGACAGTTATGCTCACTAACCTTTCTGAAGCATAAATTGCTCTGAAAACCTAAATTGCTTAGACTCCATCTCCGAAGTGGCACAGCTGCTTATAGGAGTTAAAGGATTTTTTTAAAAAAATCACTTATAGCAACTATTATCTTAAATGTTGAGAACAAACTAAGGGCAAGCCTTGGAATGAAATCCTTTCTTCCAATTATGTGGCTCATTTATTGGAGCACTCTATAGGAATAGTGATGACCACTGACATTAACAACTATTTTTACTAAATTTTCTTTTGGATGACAATATACAATAAATCTCAGAGTCCTAACTAAGAAAAAAGTTACTTTGCCTTTACCAAAGGAGTTATTTTCTACCTATAGAAATATTGGCAAGCACTATTTAATAAAAGTTGTTCATTACTAAAGACACTGCAAACTACCACATACAATCATGCTGCCTTTTTATCAAGCTACTGAAAAAAAACCAGTGAAAATATTCAAATCTGCCTCAGCTCTCTGCCTGGGCACTTCCTGATCTATTGATTAATCTGATCGTGACAAAAAGTAGGGGTTTTTTGTCTTGATGCTTAGTCCTTTTATTTCCATGGCATCTGCTATATTTACCAGTGGAACTTGTCATTCATGTATACACACTGTTCTTTAAAGATGAAAGTATCACCTGAAAGATTCATCTCACACAAAGCCAGGAGCTCAATTACTGTTTTCTCCTTGCCTGAGTCCTGCCAAGTTCGGTCTGCAATTCACTGTATTAATCAACCACTGCTGCTGTTCTTGGGATGTTTGGAAATCATAATTCCATAATTCCACATAATTCCTCACATAATTCCACTATAAACTTAGCAGCACATCTCTGTTTAATAACATTTGGTGAAAACTGAACACCAGCTGCCTAGTTTCCTGTCTTTTAAAATAAAAGTAAGTGCCAGTGAAGGAATTAATTTCTAAGTTACCTTTTCACTCTTGGGATGCACAGATCATCCCATCTGCTGACTCATATGCCTCTCATCAAAACATTTTGGTATCCTGGCTTGTCTTTAACAAACATGCTGAAGGTCCTGTACTGTCTCCTGTGCCTTGTTTACTTTGGTTTTTCCTTTTAAGAAACTTACCTGTATCTTTTCCTGATTTTTAATATTCATACTCAAATTATTAAGTGCATTTAGTGCTTTTTCTTTAACTTTGGGAACACAATCGGAGAGCATCCCTCCAATAACAGAAAGGCCGTCCAAACTTCGGATTATATCCTGAAATATAAAAGACATTTAATAAGATTTTTAAAACTTTAAATTAAATGCTGAAGACTTTTCTCAAAGTTCCCATTTTAACAAAAATGAAATGTGTGAATGAAGACTTCCAGAACAGACTGGTCTGTTTAAAGAGAGACGGTTGGCAGATGCTGTTTTATTGCCTCCCTTGAAATTAAGAATGGTCCTGCTTAGGGATAAAGTATTATTTGATGTTACTAGACAATGGCACAATGCCTTCACTTTTAAAATCTGGCCTGCAAAGCATGCTTAAAGCATTTTAGATTATAAAGAATCAAAGAAAGTTATTGCATCGTGACTCTATAGAACAGCTGAGCCAGGTCACAGTACCTAAAAGTCTTCACTGAACAGAATTTCAAGATGCAGCTTCATATTATGATTGAAGCTCTGAAACTTTTTCCATTACACTTGATTTGATTACTAATTTAAACTTTCTCACTTAGACTCTAACTGTCACTGAAAAAAAATGTACTGTTTTCAAGAAAATGAAAAATGGACCAATGGGCCTTGGGCTTCTCAGTTACATTCTGTTGTATGAGATTTATATTAAGAAACCACTTTTGAGAAGCCAAAACAGACAGCTGTCATAAGTACCATACAAAAAGGACAAAATAAAATAAAGAGTGGGACCTTGGAGGTTAAACTTTTAAAAGGCATGAAAATCTGTATCCAGCTCAAAGTTTTTCTCATCCTATGCCCAACTGATTGGAAGATACCTGGATAGTTGGAAAATTACTAATACGTAAATAGCATAAGACTTTGTGAGGATAAAAAATTAGTTTATCTCAGTAAATTTCAGATGTGAAACAGAAAGCGCTTAACCTCCAATTCAACCCTTTCACTAACATTAGATAACTGTAAGCCAAAAAAAAAGTATATTTACAGCACTTTCAAAATAGAAGAACTCTGTAAGGACTTTAGGTTGTCCAAACATTATGCTTTGATGAATTCTGTGAAGCTGGTAAATTATATTATTTGGGCTAGCAGAAATTAAGGCATAGACATAAAATGGATTTTAGAGCACAAGCTACGGTAGCTTTCAGTCCTGTGTCACTTTAGCAAAACAGCACCTCTCATCTGCCAGACTGGCTGGCATTGGACATTGTTTTCTGTGGAACAATACTTACTTGATTTACAGAGAAGGCAGCACTGTTGCTGAGAGTGATTAAAGCTTGCTCTTGAATTAATGGATCATCTGTGGCCTGGAGCAAATGAATCAGTTTCTGTAGAGCGTCCGCATCCATGCCATGGGTTGACACTGGAGGACTGCTGTCTGTGTTCAAAAATTAAATACTTGATACTAAGTTTGAGACATTTCACTTAGTTACCACTTAGCATGTTTTACAAAGTTGAAATTTAGCTCTCAGTTGCAGGACACATTGTACCCAAGCAGTATGTCATGGTAAAAAGACTGTGTTTTACAACAGCAAGCTTTCCATCCTTTTTCCCCTGAGTCCTCTAATTCCCTCTTTTCAAAGTAGAGAATAAAAGGAACACACAATTAGAGCTTGAGGTACATTACTCTCTGATTAATGAATAGCAAACATTCCATTCAAAATTATTAGGAATATTCACCAAACATGTTTGGTTTTTTGTTTTCCTTGTGGCCTGTGAAATGACGTGGAAATCTGTCTGGGCACTGTAGGAAAACAAAACTTATGATTTGCAGACTACTACTTCCAGAAATTATAATAATGACATTTTGCTACTACCCCAAGGTCCTTTGACAAAGTAACAGCCACAATGTTAAGAACGCTGCTGGTCATGGCATCACTGCAACAACTGAGGAAGGCTGTCTCTGAGTCAGGAAGATGTTATGGAGCACTTGGCTTTCATAAAAGGATGGCACGGTGAATGCCACCAAAGGCCATTTTCACTAGATTGGAGTCGGAACTATTTAGCTAAGCTGAAGAGCCTGGAGACCTGATCTATGACTGCTGGACTGGTCATAGCTGGCTTGAGATGGCTCCTGAGAAGCTAACCGGTCCTTCAAATTCCACAGATCTGCTGCCACCATCTCACCAGGCAAACACCATAGTATTCTTTGGAGGTTTAAAAAAAAAAAAAAAAAAAGTCAAAGTTAATGATGATAATCCAAGAGCTCACTTCAAAAACAATTTCGTTTTTCTCTCTCATCCTCATCTAAAGAGCTCACTTCAAAAACGATTTCATTTTTCACTCTCATCCTCATCTAAACACTTTGTTTAGCTTTGAATTAGGGGGGGGGACACAAATAACTTTAATAACGTAACAGCCGATCAGTCCATTAAGTAAACACAGTCATCAGACGCACGCTTTAGGGGTCTTAAAAAAAAACAAACAAAAACACAACCAACCAACCAAAGAAACCCAAATTAGGCTTTTCTAAAAATAAACCACGCTCCCGAGTCCTGCAAAGCACGGTACAGCTCTGGGAGGGCCGGCGGGCGGCACTGAGGCACCGCCTCCCTCAGGGCGCTTCTTCCGTCACCGCCCCCGGGCCGCGGCCGCGGGTCGGGAACCCCCCGGGGCCCCGCGGAGCCTCCGCCGCCCTCACAGCACACCGCGGGGAGGGGTGACCGCCCGTCCTGCCCCGCCCTGCCCCTCACCTGCCCCTCACCTGCCGGCAGCCCCCGGGCGGCCCCCGCCCGCCGCCCGCCCGCCGTGAGCCGCCACAGGCAGTAGCAGGCGCCGGCCCCGAGCAGAGCGGCCGCCGCCGCCCTCAGCGCCGCGCCCCGCGGCTCCCCCATCGCCCCGGCCGCGGCTGCGCCGCCCGCGGAAGGCGCCTCCCCATCCGGCACCGCTCCACCGCCCCCCTTGTCCCGGGCGGGCAGGCGGTGTGGCCCGGATCTGCCCTTCTCCTCCCCCGGGCGGCCTGGGGGATGCTGAGCCGGCAGCTTCGTGTGCGGGGCGCGGGGGAGGCTCGGCCCTCACAACGATGCGAGGCAGCTTTTCTTTCAGAGGAAGGAATCACCCAGGCCGGCCCGAGGCAAGGGCTGTCCTGCGCCACAGCGGCCCCCGCGGGCGCTCATCGTCCCCAGAGGTGGGGCAGTCACACCCTCCTCTGGTCCCCGCCACCCGCTGGTTGTCCAGCCCGGTCCCCGTGGGTGGGACCACAGACTCCCCCGGTAGCATCCGTGGGAGGGAGGCGCCCGCCCCGCCTTCCCCATGGAAGGTCCCCTTGGCCCCTCAGCAGAGCCCTCGTTGTGCCCCCTCAGCGCTGGCCAGGGCATCTCACACCCTTTCACACCGTCCTCTGCTGGCCCGGGGGGTGTTTTTGTTCTTCTTCTTTTGTCGCTAGCCTGCCTCGAACAATTTATGAGAACTTTAAAAACAGAAACAAGATGGAGCAAGGCCGTTTTGCTTTTTAATAAGTGTTTAAACGTATTAAACGATTTGATTAAACGATTGAAATTAAGGCAAACCCAGGGAACTGCACTGGCACCTTCCTTGATACGCTTAAGTTCTTCAGTGTTAATTACGGAAGCACCTCTAGGTTTCAAACAGATAATTTCCTTCTCTTTGAGTGCTATGAGTGATATCCGTGCTTTTTAATGGCCAGTCAAAGATAAAGGTGGTGCTGGACCACGCTTCAGGTACTGGTGAATTAGGTATTTTTGTTGGCACAGAAATAAATAAACTTCCATGTAATGTTAGAGACTGGCATAACATGAAGGACTGTTGAGGAAACAGAGGTGGTGAGTTTGCCCTTGGGATTCTTAATGTGACTCTCTGTATTTCGTTGGTTTCCTCCTTGTTTGACACGTTCATCTCTGCCTGTTTCCAAATCTGCAGCAGCTGTTTTTCAATTTCCTTCAAAGAAAAGCACAATGCACAAGATTAAGGGACATCCTGATACTTTCAAGTTACCAAAATAGACCTCATTTGCAAGCAGCTATTACAGTCAAGATTTCCATGGAAACATTAATAAAGAAATCTTGAGCCAATTAGAATAATTAGAGAGCAGTATTACCATGTAGACTGAGTCCCTCTCCTGAGAGTCTGTCTCTAGATCATTCTTTGTTTTTAAGCACAGAAAAACAAAATATAAGCTGTGTCTGCATGAGGTGTAGTTCTTGATTCAGCACTTCAAAAATAGCTCATGTCTACCTTTCCAGCAAAAGTTATAGCATGTACATTATAGCTATGTACAGCATTATAGCAGCAGTGGCATTGAGTTAATGAACTAAAAATGAAAGAGTTAAGGATAAGATTAAAGTGAGATTCTTAAAAGAAAGAACCAGTTAAAAATTACCCTGTGTAAGATCTTTTTACCTTTTATTTTCTTTTTTGTTTCTTAGAGGTTGGTGCTTGCTGATATCCAGCCATGTTTCTCATTTAATTTTATTATATTTTAATTTCTTTAGGAAGCTACAGTATGCGTGGTGTGAAGATAAATGAGATGATACTGGTCCTTGTATTAAGGAACATCAAAGCCAAGATGAGACCTTTGAACATTTATACACATATTCTCGGAATTAAGGATATAGAGTTCTAAGATGGCCATTTGCTTAAGTCTTTTTATGAGGAGGTTGTGGTTTGGGCATGATCCAAACACAATTGGAGTCCAAATAATCTTGTCCAAATAAATTAGGATTCCCTGCTGCATCTGAGCGTTTCCTTCCTGCCTGATTTCTCTCTTTCAGTTCTCATCCAAGTTACTTTTAAACAGTATTCATTAAAAGTCAGGCAAACTGTAATCCTGCAAACACTCTGTGTATGACAACTTTCACTGTTGTTAGTAGCTGTGTTCTTAAAATGTTAGAATTAAATATGGATGCAAAACTTTTTTTCTGCTGTGTGACCCAAATTAATTTTGCCATGAAGTGTGTAAATGGCTAAATTGGTAGGAAGAAGAATGAGTGAGAAACATTGACGATGGACTCCTTCAGATTGTTGAGAGCCTTGTAGAAGTCTGATAGAAATAGCCAGACTTGTACAGGTATAATTGTTTGGCATAATAAATATAATTGTTTACAGTTTTACATATGGTCCAAGCAACACTGAAGAGTACCTGAATGAAGATTGCAAAACCAGATGTTACAATTCCTTCCTTAATTAAATAATTAAGATTCTAAAATGTTTAACAGAGGAATTGTAATCCAGTATATGGCTTTCTAGTTTGGATTTCTTGTGTTGGAGACCTTTCAGAACACCAAAAGGAGAAGAAGTTGTCTGTGTTTGTTTGAAAAATCGGGGAAAATAAAGGCAAAAACCCCTTGAATTAAAAAATGGCATGGATATGGCAGACACGTCCTGGTTTAATCCACCAGAGGGAGTAGCTGACCAGCACTGGGATTGGCTTTGGGAAATCTGTCTGTAGGAAAATTTGTGATGAAAGCCATTGAACTATCCATTATTTAAAAAGATATTATGTGTATGAACTACAGTGATAAGTGGTGAATTTATAGTATTTTCTTAATGTAGTCAACCATCAAGATATACCTTACAAATTCCATTTTTGTTGAGAACATTGAAGAGGTGCTAAAGCATTAATGTGTTGGTTACTATAAATATTCAAGGTGTCTGAACTGAAAACAGTGGCCTTTCACTTTGTCTGTGCTCAAATGAATAATTTTCTTCACCTTTTCATATTGGTCTTAACTTAGGTGCATAGAATCATAGAATGGTTTGGGTTGGAAGAAACCTTCAAAGATGATCTCACTGTGGGCAGGAACACCTTTCACTCATTTAAGTTTGCTCGAAGTCTCATCCAGCCTGATTTTGAACACTTCCCATAGTGGGGCATCCACAACTTCTGTCCTCCTGCCATGAAAAGGATTCAAGCACATGCTCCAAGTTAATTTAGTAATAGCAAGAGGCCATGTCTTGGAAGGGAAGTAGTGTTGCATGTCGTGTTCTGAAATTTTTACCAGGCACAAGAACTTCCAGGTTATAGTTTCCTTTAAATATTCACTTAAATAACTGCAGTTTGTCCATATACTGTAAACAATCAATATACTTTGGACTTTCTTGTTGTATGTGAGCTCAAAGTCCAAAAGTAAATGATCCATGTCCTTTAGCTGAACACAGCTAAAGGACAATTGAGAAAAAGAGTTCATTGGTTATTGTACATTATTAATAAAAGATAATGTAAAGTTGTGTGATAAAACAATGCTGAAAAGCAGATATTTTTTTAGCAGATATTTTTTAAGCTGCATTTTGTTTTCAATGCTGGTTCAATTTTTGCCCAGCTTCCCATTCAACCTACTCTTTACTAACAGTATTAAACTTGTATTAAATTCTGCATTAAGTAAAATGATCTAATCTTCTATATATTTTTCTTTAATGCACATTAAAAGCAATGAAATTCTTAGTAGAAATTATTAAAGAAATGCTACATATTTTATTACTATCCTAAAACCAGTGCTTTGAAGTCTAGCAATTGAAATATGATGATACATGCACTATTACCTTTAAAAATTGAATGAAAGGGAAGGCAAGTGATAAAAAGAAGTGCTTCTATTTTGCAGTATTTTAAAAGATGCTGGTAAATATCTGTTTGTTTTAACAGTTTCATAACTAAATGCTACTTTGCTATTAATAATACAAAGATGTTAATTTGCAGTTTCTTTTTGCAGGTGCTGCTTTGTGATGTATTTGTTGCATATCCAGAAGATCCACTTCCACTTTTGGAAGAAAAAGAATAAAGCCAAAGTGGAACATGGCTCTAGCATAAGACCGTTATGATGTCCAAATATGAAGAGTTATTATGCAGAAGTGGAACATGTGGGTGCAGATTCACAAGGAAAAAAAGACACGTAAGTCTATGTAGCTGCTCTGCATAACAAAGAAATACGTATTATATAATAGAAAATTATGATGTATAAATTAAATATGCTTGGTCCAATAATTTCTGTGACTCTTTTTGCAGGATGCCATTCATTAGCTGAGCTGTGGCAACTTGTTGTCACGAGTGCTGGGAGGGGCAGGTCCCTGTACTCTTTGCTAGGACAGATGGTGCTGGCACTCTTCTCTGAAGACTGAGCAGGGATGCTGATGCTGAACTGGCTTGGGAGGTGTTAGGGAAATGGAGTGTATGCATGTCAGAAGTACAGGGTAAATGAGTTGGGATGCTTTTTCTGGGAGGTGAAGGAGTACAGTGATAGGGATAATACAGGAGGGATCACAGACTTGGAGTCCTAGCTTCAGTTAGAGGGAATGCATGATGAGAGGTGGAGGTGGAGTAAAGATCAAAACAAAAAAGCCAGAAGGCAGGTTGGTATCTTAAAATATTTAAAATTTTAGTCTGACTAGACTGAGTTCAATGAAGATGTCCTGTTTCTGGAGAGTATCAAGGCATTCTTAGGGAATAATAATCTTAAATTCTTTTAATTCTTAAAAGCAGTTGCAATGATTGGTTTGACTTTCATAACTAGATTAGAATGCATATAACTGAGTCATTTTTTAATT